GGGGTAGAGCAGGAAGTAGTAGAGTCTGATAGGCTACGTCAAGTATTCCATTCAGAAGATAAAGGTTTCAAGTGTTTATTTTTGAACTCCTTATCTGCTGCAAGAAGGACTTTTACTGGTGTTTGGGCTTTCAATTTGTTTCTGAACTTTTAGGTCATGAAGTGTTTGGTTTGGGGTTTTTTAAATTTTAGTTTTGTGATGTATTTTGCATCCAATTAAAGGTGTAGTTGTGACCGATCAGTGATTTTATTAATTTATCCTGCTTCAGCTTTTTAACAGCCTCTTGATAACCTTCAAACCATCAACTTTTTATGTCTTTTATGCTTGACGTGCTGTGAAAATCAAAATTTTTTTCATCAAATTTCTCAAAATTAGGTACCGAACTGATAAAACTTTTTGTAAGGTAACGACTTATTTAAATTTTGTCTGAAATTGTCTTATGTTCACAGCCATTTCATAAAAATGATTGATGCTTTTATAAGTAATTTTTTTTAAAAAGCACTTAACCCAAAATTTTTAGTAATTCTGAAAGAGTTTATAATCAAGAAAGAAATTAACTTTTTGTTAGAAAAATGTTTTGTTGAATTTGGTAGATACACAGTGATCTGCCACGGACGAATATATTAATTATATTACACTTCCACCCTACTTGAACTACTTGAAGCAATGAGCATTAGCTTCCTCAAGTGGGATGAACGCACTTGACTGCAACTTATTCCGTCGCCGCCGCCACAATTGAGATGCTTGTAATTATAATATAACTAGCACACATTTCCTCAATCACTTTTGTCATGTTTGTGGTAAAGTTGGAAGGGGGGGCTGGGGTGTTGCCTTTTAGAAACCAGAAAATGATTGTTGGTTTATTTACTTTGGAGCAGAAGTGACTCAGTGAGAGTTGGGATTGCCACTTTGGCCATTATAGTCTGTGATAACTACATGCTACATGGGTCTCGCTGGGGTTTTTTTTTTTTCAACCTCACCAGAAGACTGTGTTCCTCTAGTATAGTGTGGTAGTTTTATTTATGTTGTCAGTAAGAGATTGGAGCACATTTTAGAGTAAGAGTAGCCTGAGTGGAGCTAGAAATATAAGGGACATTGATAATTTAAAACTGTTTTACCCATTAAATGGCATGCATGTGACGTGTGACCGGTTAGAATGAGATAAAACTTTCACCTTTTGTGTATTACATGTATTCATCTTTTTGAAAAATTTGCAACATGTCTATTTTTGTTCTTCATTGTGTTCTGTTTTCTGAAGGTATTTTGAACAGATGTGTTTATTTTATGTTGTTTTGTGGGGGGGGGGGGGTGAGACCCCCTGCAATGTAGATGCAATTCCTCTGATGGTAGAAAAGCGAACCGAACCATCTACCCTTACGAGTAAGTACCTTTGTAATATTTAAACTGACGTGGTCTACCGTCTCATGCTTCTCACCTGTCTTCTCTCTCGGCCCTATCGGAGAAGGACGTTAAACTAGGGGGTCCCGCCCCTTAAATAACCTAATAATAGTGTTGATAGGGGCGTTAAACCCATATCCGTTTTTCTCTCGCTTTTTACTCGTTCTCTCGTTCTTTAGTCGTTCTCACAGTCCATGTACACCACCTTCCTAATAAACTGTTAGCGTCTTGTGGCCTGCTCGACTGGCACAGAGGCAAATATAAAATTTCTAGGGCACTAAACCATCACCACCCCACCCCTCCCCCCACTCCACCCCTCACATACGCATAAGAACATACACGTGAGCGCGCGCGCACACACACACACACACACACACACACACAGT